TGAGGATTAAAAAATATGATTTCACTTGTTTAAGAAACTGAGGGTGGGAGATTGGGATACATCAGGCCCTCTTCTGTGCTGTTGCATAAAGCGTAACTAAATATATCATTATTCTCCCATTTTTACTATTAGTAAGATATTGAGACTTGTAGTATAAGGTCAGAAGTGTTGCCTATAACTAACTGCACTATGACATTCTCATTCATCTGCTGATCCTAAAGTCCCACAGCAGCTGAAGACTCTGATGTCCAATCAGGCTTTCCAAATCTTCCCCTAGAGCACATGTGCTAGTGGATACCACATTATACATGCGCCTCATTCAGCCTTCACCCACCCCTCTCTGCCATCAGTAATCCCCTTCTTTATCAGCATGCTGTCCTTCAGCCATAAAAATTATGCATTAAAACAAGAGCCCTGCTAACCATCTCTGTCAGTTCAGCTCGACATGGAAGGCCCACTCATTCAGTTACACCCGTTGTAGTAGTGCATGATTCTGGGTACTGTGCATTCTAAGCAATTGTGAAATCACCATTGGAGAAGTATGTTTAATGGTATGTCCTTGTTTGTGACTGGGTAAAAGAGGCAGTGTGTATTTTAAGTTAAGCTGTGTACATATGTATGTCTGTGTATATGTGCAAAAGCATACATGTGAACATGTGAGAATGTAAGAGCAGCATGGAACTGTTATCATTTTCCTTGTGAAGTACATCATATAAATAGCTACAGTTAAAATATAATATTTTATAAAATACATCATTGTCTTTGTATAGAGGGACCTAACAGGACAACAGGGCAGGTCTCTCACACATCAGTTGGGGAGGGGGAACACTGTGTCCTTTCTTTGCACCCAAAACAACAAGTTAGAAAATAAATCTCTTTGGGAAAATTATATCAGGTTTTGCCATGGAAAGAAGAGTTAGGGAAGTTTGAGGGTCCTTATCATTAAAAACTGACACAAGTCTTCATATTAGACTGCATGAATAAGGAAAGTATTCTTTTTTTTTCTTTTTTTTTTTTTTTTGGATTGTTCAAATACATTTGTCTCCATTTACCCACCACCACTTTCCCCTGCCCCACCCACCTCCACCTTCCTGCCTCAATCTTTCCCCACCTTGGATTTGTCCATGTGTCCTTCATACATGTTTAAGGAAAGTATTCTTTTCAAGAAAGTTTAGTTCAAAAGAAATGTTGTTTGTCAAGGATGATTCTAACGAAGGACCCAGTGTTTGAGATTTTCATCAGGGGTTCTAAAACATATGGAACAAACTGAAAGTGACAAGAGGGGAGGTAGGAGGGGGATAATGGTGGAAAGAAGGGGATGGGAGTGGTCAAAGAACATGTATGAATGACCCACAGACATAGACAACAGTGTGGGAATTGACTGTGGGAGCGGGGGATGGGATAGGCAGAGGAGGCCAAAGCAGGAAAAACTGGGACAACTGTGATACAATAACAATAAAAATGATTCAAAAGTTAAAAATAAAAAACATAATTTATAGTTCTTTTAGTGAAATAAAGGTAAATGGCATTTCATATGATGTGTTCCTATGGTCTATATGACTTCAACTGTATAAATGAGATTTCCTGGGATTTTGTTCTCCCTTAGAAAGGAAAAGAGAAAGAAAAATTTTTATAGTCATGAGGCATTAGGTAAGAAATGGACATATAAATAACTATTAGCTTAGTGTAAAGGGTCTCCTAAGAAAGGGAAGAAGCCTGGGAGTTTTGTACATCAAATAAAAATGGAGAATAGGGCTATATTTCAGCTTAAACCAATATTCCCTTTCCAGGAATCATCTCCTCTGGCTCACTGCTGACAATCCATAGATAGAGTATGAGCAAGACGAGTTCATGAGTAAGATGAACAGGGATGCTCCACGGCAGGTAAATAAATTTGTTTCCACTGAGATAATTATTCTTACCGTGTGTCACTGCTCTCATGGCATAAACAGGACAGGTGATGACATCCTATAAAATGCAATTTTTATTCCTATACTCCTGACAGCAAGATATATAATTCACTCAACTCTCCTGCATTTTTTTGCTCTGAAACTATGAGTAGGTCTTGTTATTATTGTTGCTTTCGTTTTTGCCTTCTTAAAAATTGCTATCATCATATAGTCTACCTGGCCCTATATGAGGACTATATATATATTATTATGTGATAGCTAAATATGGTTATATTACCTGGATTTTCTAAGGGTTAATATCTGCCTCGTATAATCCCTGTGCAATACCCGTATTCCCAAATCATGCCTTCTCCCAAACTTCATGTCCTTTCAGACCTAACCTAGGCATCACAGTCCTTTTACCAACAAATAATTTTTCTAACTATAATTCATTGGTACCTTACTCCAAAAGCATATGAATACTTACAAGAGGGTTAATCCTCATTAAAAACTAGGATTACATGACATAATTACATGTAAATAAGAAAAGTGAATTAAACTCTTACCCTTTCCTATGTCGGGCACTGGTTGTGAATCATATATACAATTAGAGTTATATTACCAAGCTAAAAATATTGGTAAAGATCTAAAAATGACAAACAGTGCCTTTTAAATTAATGTCTTATTAGTTGAGTGAAGTACACTGACAAAGAATAATTTATGCTTATTCAAACTGCACTCGACATCTTCAGGTGTTTCCAAATGAGCTCACAGAAGAGTGATTAAATGCATCTGATAACAAGCCACACATTGCTGAAATTACTTACCGCCTCATTTTATGATTAATTAAACATGTAGATTAAAGTTGCAAAAGAATTTAGATTAATGAGCAAGTTAAGTCTTGCTGATATAAGTGAATTGGGAATTGGATGCTCTGTGGAACTTTATAAACATGCATTTTATAATGAATAAGACAAGGCTACATGCAGAATCGTGGCCACCAGGGCCTTTTGACGATGCAGTCTTTTTTAACATGGTTTGACAGCTTTCAAATAACATTCTTCTATAGGCTTTAAACTTTGTGCTTTCCTGTAAAACACAAGACTACATAACTCATGTACCAGAAGTACGATTATTTTCAAGCTCTCCAAGGAAATGACCCCTGTAGCAGCAGCTGTTCCAAAAAAATTACAAGCTCAATTGTTATTTTAATCAGAGATAGTTTCATAGTTAAAAGCAGTTATGCAACTTGTAAAATTATATGACACCTCATCAGTACCTTCTCAACACACCTTCCTCCAAAAGTAAAACCATCCACCAAAAAGTCATAGCTTCCAAAGGACTTATTAGCAAAGCAGGGTGCTCAGTCATTCATAAAATATTCAAAGCCATTTATTAGTGAAGATTCTGTGCTAGGAAAGGTTATGTTTAAATTTATGACGACTCTTATCAGCTCTAAGAGTGTGTCAAAATATCTGCTGGCGTTTGCTGAGTATCCAATTTTTCTCTTTTAAGATCAGCTTCACCTAAACCACGTAACTTAGACTGTGTCAAAAGCCAAGTTGGACTTTATGATTTTCCAGAGCAAGAAAAATTCAGGTTGTTCACAGAGATGCAGTGCATCCTCCTTTGCAAGGAGTACAGAAGTGGAGAGAAATTGAGCCAAAGTTACTAAACTAGCTTACGGTTTAAAATCTATTCCATTTTTATTATTAAGCTGGTAGCACAATGCCATTTATTACTACCATGACATAATAAAGACACTACTACAAATTAATTTGAATGGATCCAATCTGCTATCTGAAATACACCTCTAATTCTTTTCTACTTATTTTCAGACCTTAGGCATGATTCATTTCTTGACAAGACTGAGATTTTTATAGTGTTATTTTTTTCCTTTCAATTTGGATTTTTTTAGACTCTAAAGCCTTACCAAGAAAACTATGGAAATTTTTACATAAGGATCAAAAGGAGCTGCTTCATGACACAGGTGGCAAATTACCATCATTAACCCCACATATTTATCATGTGGACATAATTGCCCATTTGAAGATTTATGTTAATGAAAATATAATATTGAGACATGTCTCTGACTATACTAAAATTCATTAAAAGTTAAGATCATTTTTATAAGCAGCCAAAAAAAGGTCTCCATTTGATTTGTTTATTTCAGTTTTATTAAGTCAGTGTTTTTCACCAAGTAATGTAAACCACATTTTATCACCACAAAAGGTTATTTCTTATTTATAAGCTTTTTCCCCTTATAGTTCAACTTGAATGTAATAGTAAGGACTTCTAGGTAAAAATACGGACCAAAATACTTCAAGGACCAAAAAAATATACCTTTTATGTATATGAAAATTTAAATTTCTCATTTATGCTAGTCAAAAGAGGAAATCTGACAACAAAGCGGTTATATTAGCCTGAAAGAAGCTGGGTTAAATAACTAAAAAGCATTCATTTGCAATTTTAAATGCATTTGGTATGTGCCAGAAAGGCATAGATTATTCAGACAGCTAAATAAGCAACCAAATTTTAAGAATCAGGATCTTTCCACTCCAGTCATTGCTATATTATTTCCAGGCCCCACAAATTATGAGGTGTGTCCTGGAAGTACTAATAACTTAATAGAAATCATGTCATTACTAAGGCATTTTAATACAAGAAGATACATTTATTTCCCCCATGAAAGTAACTTTTGTAAAATAACTGTAAGTCCTAAATACTGAATATACTTAGCTATTATATATACTTACTATTATTAGCATGTTTTAATTTTTGATAAATGCTTTATACAGTTTACTTGCACTAAGTGATAGATTTACTGATTATTTAAAGTTGAGTTAAATGTTTACCTATGATACCAAAATAGGTACTTTGCCCTGAAATTTTGAATAAATGAGCAACTTAAAATATCCCAAATCAGCCATAATGTAATATAAAAATTCCTAAACATTATTTTTATTAAATCAAGATGGCAAGTTAGTGTAACATATTTTCTTTTATTCCACAACACACAGTCATGTGGGCTATGAACCTTGCATTTCTAGGGGGATATTACTATTTTCTCTATTTCACATGTGGGTTGAAAAAAAGTATTAAAATACTCACCAGAGACTAAAATGAGATGACTAAATTCATTTTCACATGTGATTGGGCCAAGGTTTGTCAAGGTGAATTACAAGTGCATTAATATCCACAATACTGCCAAATGCTGAATTATTAATATTGTCGGCTCCTCAGTTTCAGTTCATGCCCTATAGAGGAGTTTTGTGAGATCCATCAAAACTCTGCCTCTCAACATGTTTACAAACATCCTGGAGACGGCATGTCTTAAACTGAAAATAAAGTGACTCTAACCAAGCTAGTTGTCATCGAGGCCAGACTAAGGTTCATAAATTCAAAGAACCAGTCTATAGCAAAGGGAGCAAATAAAGCCAGGTGCCACTCCATGCCAAGTCTTTGACATCTCAGCACCCAGCACTTGAGATACCAGGCAAATGACTAAAGGTGGTTCTTCATTTAGCAGGATTGGTAGCATTATGTACTACATTTATAAATTGGATGTGTCAATGAAAGTATTCAAGAGGCAAAAACAGTGCTAAAAATTGGCTCCCAAACTATTATGATTTATCACTTTTTATTCTACTTGACTGCAAATTCTTTAGTTCCCTTAACCGAACACAGTTAACTAGAAGAGTCCTAAATTTTCCTTCACTGAAGAAATAAGATTTTTCCATTTTCTACATTATTAATACTAGAACCACTTTTAAAATCTTCATATACTCAAAATGTTTTTGTAAGTAGTGTACATTAACAGTGGTCTTTTATAACTTGTTTGGAGATTTAAAGTATGATTATTTTTTAAGTCAAAGGTTTCTAAACTTTACTCTGTGCTTTATATTGTATCATTTCCATGAGAAGAAATTGAGATCAAAACAGATATTTTTCATAAAATATATAACCTATACCAAAAACTAATGTTACAAGTCAATTATATCATAAATAAATAAAAATGGGTTCAAAACTTGGGAAAATTTGAGAGTTTTGATAATCATCTGTGTCCAATCTTTCATTCAATATCTATGTTGCCTACAAGCAGAAGCATTTCTGAAAAATATTTAATTGTGGTAGTAAAATGATTTAATTTGTATGCAAAGTTTAGCTAATAATCCCAATAGTTTTAAGTATAATTTAAAACTAGAAAAAGTGAAGAAACTCGGTGTTAAAGTTTACCTAGCTCTTAGTATTAGACCACAAAAATGCAATGCAATCCCCATTTGCCACAGAAATAAGAAGTAAGTGGGAACATTAGTTATACTCATAAATTATATACATACACATATATATATATATTATACCTGGGCGTTTATACAAAGTGACGAGGGGCCACAAAGTCCTTCTTGAAGCATTTTCCTTTCCTCATCAGAAGATATAGAATGTCTAAAAAGAAGAAACTAATAGTTATTGGACCCACTATCTGCCAGATATAAAATAAATGTTCTCTATGCATCAGATAATCTTAATCTTCCCCAAAACCATACCCATTTTATAGATGAGGAAATTGAATCTCAAGCTAAGTAATTTGTCCAAAATGACACCAATGATGGAGATGAGAGTAAAGCCCTATGAACCCAAATCCAAGGTCCATTTATTCAATCTGCTACATTATGCTTATTTATGGTCTATACTATTTTTATTTTTGTTATTCTTTACTAGATAAAATTCCTTTCTGGTTCTTCTCAGTTAATCCATTCCTACACTTCGTTCCAAGGTTCGCCTACTCCAAAAAAGTATGTTGTATTCTCTCCGCACTTTGTTTAAAAGCCTTTATTACAACAGTTCAAATTACAAGGATTCATACAATATATATTTATATAATGTTACCAATATTACCATCTAGATTACAGCAATGTAATCAGAAAATGGTTTCACTGACACACTTCAGTATGTTTCTCCCATTCTCTATACTTCTCTACCCTCTCTCACTTTCACAGCAACTGTTATCATCATCATCATTATTATTAATATTACTATTATCATTATTATTATTACTCTATATTACTGACCTCAACGAACCACTTTTTGCTCTCATGCTGTACTCTGGATCCCCAAAATCATATCTTTTTCTGTTTTCAATCTGTTCAAATGTTCTCATACTCTGAAACCACCTCTATTTACTTTCCAATCAAAAATTCTACCCATGAATATTTTATAAAAGATATAAGACACTCTTGATTATTCATTTTTGCAATATATATCTAAGAATTTATTATGTACTGCTGGAAACTAAGAATAGATAAATAAGATAGAGCTTATTTGTCTAAGAGCTTACAATCTACGACAAAAAGATAAGTAAACCAAAATTGTGTAACATAGATAAAAATAAAACAGTGAAAAAGAATTTTTAATGTGAACAGAATCAGTGAACTATAAGACAGTTTCCAGCTACCAAACATATGTGTAATTGAATTCCGCAAAAAAAAAGGAGTGAACAGAAAATATCTGAAGATTTTTCCAAATGTGACAAAAAACAAAACCAACTGATATGAGAATTTCAAAAAACCCCAAGCTCAAAGAGCATTAAGAAAACTACACTAAGGCACAAAATAATCAATTTGCTTATTACCAGTGAAAAGAGAAAATCATAAAAGCAGCCAAAGGAAAATGACACAGCATATTTAGAATGTATATAAGAATTACAGCAGACTTATTTTTTAAAACAGTGCAAGCAAAAAGACATGGGTCAATATCTTCAAAATATTGGACAAAAAAGTTAATCTAAAGTTTTATACCTATCAAAATAAAGATTTTTCAGAAATACAAAAGCTGAAGGAAATCTTACCAGCTCATCAGCATATATATACTAAAAGAAATGTAGGATATCCAACAACGCAGAAGGTAATGTTGCCAAGTGGAAATCTGAATCTACACAAAGGAATAAAGTACACTGAAAATGATATATATGGGTAAATATAATAGACTGTTTCTTTCATTTTAAGTATCTTAAAATATCATTGATTACTCAAAAACATAATTATTGTTTTTAGGTTTATAACATATGTAGAAATAATGTGTATGGCAACAATATTACAAATGCTAGAAGACAGAAATGAAAGTATACTAGTAAAAGATGCTTATACCATATGTAAAAAGTGGGATAATACTACTTGAAGTAAGACTATCATAAGTTGTAAAACATTTTTATAAATTGTAAATGAAGCAATAAAATGTAATAAAAAATATGAGAAGTAATTAGCAGACAAAAGACTTAGGCATAAAAACTCTCAATAAATTAAAAAGAAAGCAGGGAAAAGAGAATAATTAACAGATGACATAAATAGAAAACAAACAGCAGATTCAACCATGACAATAAACACATTAAATGTAAATAGTCTGAATACCCAAGTTAAAAGTAAGAGATTGTCATACTGGAATAAAATGCATTGCTCAACTGCACACAATCACAAAAAAAAATCCACTTTAAAAATAAAGAAAAATATTTCAAAAGGGAAAACATGAAAAAACTATACCATGGTACCACTAATAAAGAGGAAGTTGCAGTGACTATCAGACAAAGTAGTTTGTAGACCAAAGAATGTAACTAGGGTAAAAGGATTCTTATATAACGATAAAAAGGTCAATTAATTCATTAAGGGGACATAATTATCTAAACATTATTTACCTAATATTCACCTACTTTCAAAATACAAGAAAGAAAAACTAATAAAACTTCAAGAATTGTCAGTTTTTAAAATCTCAGTTAATGAAAAGATGCTCATCACCACCAGTCATTAGGGAAATACAAATTAAAATCACAATAAGATATTACTTAAAACACTTGAATGGCTAAAACTGAAAACAAAACATACCAAGTGTTATTGAGGATGTAAGGCAACTGAAACTCACACATTTATTGTAGGAATGTATAAAGATACAGCCACTTTGGAAAAAATTAGCAGTTATTATAAAATTAAACATATACCTATGTAACCTAGCCATTCACACTCCTAGGTATTTACCTAAGAGAAATAAAAGTAAATGTCCACCCAAAGACAAATGTTCAAAGTAGCTTCCTTTGTAATAACCAAAAACTAGAAAGAACCTAAATGAATAATCAAATTGTGGTATATCTATACAGTGAAATACTACTTAGCAACTTAAAAAATAAGGTACTGACATGAACAACATGAGTGAATCTCAAAATAATTAGGCTGAATGAAAGAAACTAAACAAAAAAAAATACATAATGTGTGATTCCACTTACACAAAAGTTTTTTACATGCAATCTAATCTACCGTTACACAAATCCATGATTGCCTGAGAATGAGGTCAGGGAAAGATCAAGGAGAATCAGGAGTGAGGGGCTCTGAAGGGGCATTAAGAAACTGTTAGGGGTAATGGATATGTAAATTATCTTGATTGTGGAAATAGCTTCACTGATGTACACCTATATCAAAACTTATCAAATTATACATTCTAAATACATGCTGGTTATTGTATGCCAATTATAACTCATTAAAGCTGTTGAAAAATGCAATAGGCAGTATTCTCTCTTTACAGGCGAGAAAGTTAAGGCTCCAAGAAGTTATATTGTTGTCTATGATCAGAGGCAGTACATAGCAGTACTCAGGAGTAGTGGGAATTATGCACAATATGTTTTTTCCAGTTTTATTGAGAAATAATTGACATACTTAACTGTATAAGTTTAAGGCATACAGCATGATGGTTTGATTTATATATACAGGCATACCTTGGAGATATGCCAGGTCAGTTCCAGACCACTGCAATAAAGTGAGTCTTGCAATAAAGTGGGTCATAATCTTTTGTTGGTATGTTGTCTTGCCTTCAATTTGTAAAAAATGCAACATCTGTGATGCACAATAAAGTGAGGTGCAGTAAAATGAAATATGCCTCTCTTGTTAAATGATTATCACAATAGGTTCAGCTAACGTCCATCATCTCATAAACACAACATAAAGAAAGAAGAAAAGATAAAGAAAAAAACCTCCTTGTGATGAGAACTCTCTTTCTTCTCTTAACAACTATTATGTATATCATACATCAGTGTTAACCATAGTCATCACATTGTACATCACATCTATGCTACGTATCTTATAACTGGAAATTTGTACCTTTTTACCACCTTCCTCCAACTCCTCCTTCCCCTACTCTCTACCACTGGTAACCACATGTCTAATCTCTTTATCTAAGAGTTGTGTTGGAAAGGGTTTCTTTCTTTCTCTCTTTCTTTCTTTCTCTCTTTCTTTCTTTCTCCCTTTCTTTCTTGCTTTTAGATTCCACATAAAAGTGACATCATACAGTATTTGTCTTTCTCTATATGACATATCCCTTAACACAATGCCTTCAAAATCTATCCATGTTGTCGCAAATGGTCGGATTTCCTCACTTTTTAACGCTAAATAATTTCCATGGTGTATACCACAGCTTCTTTATCCCTTCATTTATCAGTGGACTCAGGTTATTTTCATGTCTTGGCTATTATAAATAATGCTTCCATGAGCATAGGAGTACAGAAGTCTTTTCGAGTTTGTGTTTTCATTTCCTCTGGATATATTCCCAGAAGTGGAATTGCTGGATTATGTGATAGTTTTAGTTTTAATTTTTTGAGCATCCTCCATACTGTTTTCCATAATGGCTGTACCAATTTTCAATCCCTCCAACAAGGATTCCCCTTTCTCCACATCTACATCAGCATTTGTTATTTCTTGTCTTTTTGATCACAGGCATTCTTACAGCCATGAGGTCATATCTTATTGGGGTTTTAATATACATTTCCCCAATGACAAATGATGTTGAGTATCTTTTCATGTGCCTGTTGGCTTTTTGTATATATCTTTGAAGAAATGTCTATTAAGGTCCTTTTCCCATTTTTATTAGGTTATTTGTTTTTATGTTCTTGTTATATGAATTCTTCATATATTTTGAAATATATGGATATAAAATAATTTTTCTCATTCTATCAGTTGTCTTTTCACTCTATCGTTTCCTTTGCTGTACAAAATCTTTTTAGTTTGATATAGGCCCACTTGTTTATTTCTTTTTATTTTATTGTTTAGGCTTCAGGTGACATATCCAAAATATCATTACCAATACCCTTGTCAAGCTTTATTACTATGCTTTCTTCTAGGAGTTTCATGGTTTCAGGTCTTACATTTAAGTCTTTAATCTATTTTGAGTTAATTTTTGTGAGTAGTGTAAGACAGAGATCCAGTTTCATTCTACTATATGTGAATATCTAATTACCCCAGCACCATTTATTGAAGAGACTATCTTTTCTCAATTGTGTATTCTTGGCTCCCTTGTAAAATATAGTTGACCATATATGCTTGGGTTTTCCTCAGCTTTCAGTTCTGTTCCATTGGTCTATTTGTCTGTTCTTATGCTGTTTTGATTAGTATGGCTTAAGATCAAAGAGTGTAGTGCCTCCTGCTTTCTTTTTCTTTCTCAAGATTTCTTTGGCTATTCTGGGGTTTTTGTAGTTCCATATAAACTTTAAGAGTGTTTTTTCTCTACTTCTGTAAAAAATGGCATTGGAATCTTGATATACATTATATTGAACCTATAGATTGCTTTTGGTATTATTGACATTTAACCATATTTGTACTTTAAATCTATGAACATATGCTACATTTTAAAGTTAATATGAAGCATCTAATATAATTCTGATTCACAGAAGACACTCAAAAGTTGTTTTGAAGGTTTTAAACTATAGAGGCCAATCAACAGCCTAAGACATGAAAAGTAATAGATTTCATCTTTCCTATATGATACTCAAAATTTAAAGAAATTTTAACCTAAAATATATTAATTGATAGAATATATGAAAGCTTGCATTTCTATAATTCATTCAAAAAGCTCTTTACAGGAACCTACTATGCACAACATAATGTGCACTACTTGCTAGGCACAACAGAGACAGATATTTGCCATATAAAGATAATAAAAGATCACTCTGTTGAACTGATGACAAGGGGCTCAGTGTGTCAGGATGCTAAGTTGTATACAGTTGAGTGGACAGGAAGATGATCAGTCACTCTATGCCTCCAAGAAGGAACAATGACAATGTTCCTTCCACCAAAACATTTACCAAGAAGGAATTGCTAGGTTTTGTATCAGTCACCTTTTTTGTTCTTTTTCACATAAGTGTATTTCACCTCTCCCAACAAATATATTTTAAATTCCTGAGGACTAATTCTTCCTTTCCCACTTTAAATTCCACTTCATGTCCAGAGGAGTCCTGAATTAATATTCTTACAGAGAGAATGAATAAATGAATGAATGAATGTTAGTCTGAGTGATAAGGTAATAAGAATTACAAGGATATTTAACAAAATCAACTTGAGTTTATCCCACTTTCTTGAAAAAGTCTATTTTTTAACCTTTTATTTCAGTATGTCTTTTCTTACTCATAAATGTATTTTTCTGCACTATTTCCTCTTCCTTTTAAAGAGACAAGCAAGAGGGGCTATATGCTAAGTATATTATTTGTTGCAACTATAGCTTCTATGGAGAAGTGCAGACTCTACGCAGTCCTCTTTTATTCCTTGCAGATGTTATATGTTAATCCCTATGTGAAAGCTACCTGATAGGAATGCCATAATCTCAAGTATCTTCACCTATCCCAGTAATGATAGCCAAGTTTCACCTTATGTCTCTGAAATCAACAAGGCCCGGCCCGTGTACTTGAACTCCTAGTGTTAATATCCTTTGTGTTTATGTTATGCCTCTAAATCCTCAAAGTATTTTTATCTTTAGGCATATTCTCATTCTTCTAAAAACACATGCTTCTCCCAGTCTTCCAAGAAAAAAAGAAATCCTTAATTTTCTATGAGTATCTAACCAATGAGATAGCAGGGGATTTGAATATTGATAAGAGATAATTAGTATGATCATTTCCTTCTGCT